ACGCTTAATGTTTTAATATTGCAGTTGCGCAAACCAAGCAAAATAAAAGACCTCCTACTTCATCTTCCAATAGAGATCAACAGCCTACTTCGTATGTTATCTTAGTTTTTTTTTAAAATAATTAACTGACATTGAATCAAATGATGCAATTGAGCAAATCCAACGCCTAGCATTTTTGCTATGAAGATACACGAGTTAACTACTGATGAAATTATACCTATATAATGATATGCTTTCCGAACGAAAAGTAGTGTATAGCTAAAAATATTAATACATAAAATTAATTTATGCGCTTCTAGCCAATCTGAACGGCAACAGACAAAGTCTATCGATACAGATATCGGAAATAGATCGGAGCCTGTTAAAGAGAGTAAGACATCGATACACACTGCAACAAACGATCGAAGAGGTTTGTTTGATAACTTATATGAAAAACACTGCTTAAGTGAGCTATTTGTTGACATACGATGTATCGAAAATTTTTGATTAGTGCGGAATGTGCCAACTAAACCTCAAACTAGTACTTGGTCAAAAACTGAAAATCTTGCTAATAAACTGAAATCCAGCAATCGAACAAAGGAATTGACACAACAGCGTAAAGACGATGCCTCTGTTCCTGTATCTGATAACTTTCAGAATGTTTCAAAGAATACTAATTTGCAAGAGGATTTATGGAATACGAATAGCTCGTCTACTGATAATGGTATCTATTTACTTATTTACTATAGTGATACTATCTTCCGAAATACCACCATGTCATGAAATGCTACTTTTTTTTGTATTATTAAACTTAAGATCGTTATCGTGTACCCCCCGGTATGGAAAGTCAATGGCCTGCAGAGAGTTCTGGTAAATGGGATTACGAAAATGGGGTAAATATTCGTATTTGCAATCAATTTATTAACGAACCGTGTCGTTTTGGCCCATACAAGCATCAGCTTGAAATAATGCTATGATTTCATTTTCTAGAGTGATAATAAGACAGATGGACCTAGTGTGTTATCAGATTTACCGGATTTAAGTAACGATAAGTAATGCTGCTTTCTGTCTAATCATCTAATTTTGCCTAGATGGAGCATACTAAGAAAATTTATTCTATTACAGAAGTCTAGATCTTGCTGCTTTAGCAAAAGTGTCACAACAGGTACAAAAAGAATTACCTTCAGTTAAATCTGATGATCTTACTATTCCAAGCGCATCGTCGGTTCCTCAGCCTTTGGCTGCAATCTCGTCGCCATCTAAGAAGCAGTATTTAGAAGGAAATGATAACGAAAAAGGAATGCAAGCTAATTCTCATAGATCATATGATCACACTAAACAACAAAGACATTCAAATTCAAAACCAATAAGATCTAAGCGATCTCAAAAAGTTGAGGTATTTTTTATGAACAACAGTGATTATTCGTAGTAATACTGAATTAACATGTAAAGGTGACATTACGTTGATATGATTTATATAGTTACCATCAAAACCTGTTGAAATGCCTCATAATGTTGTGGAATCATTAAGCTTACAGGTACATGTGAAAGATTACATCTTAGTGGTGCAATTTTAATTATAAACATGTTCTGGTTTTCGTTTTCTATACAATGTAGTTTGGAAACTTAGAATTTGGTTTCGGATCCGCTAGTCCTGAAGTGGTACATGTTTTCTGTTTGTTATTCATTACGTTAAGTGTTTGAAAAAATGCTTAAATTAAATTTTATTTTAGGATGCTACAACGAAACTATTGCAATCGGGAGTCCCAAAGTAATGATTATAATAGTGTTTATTAAAATATAATCGTATGACTTATTGTTGTTGATGTCTGTGATTAGTGAATCGATGTCTCCAAGTGCGACCACCACCGTTGCTCCAGGACCGGTTGAAAGACCTACTAATAGGAATAAATCTTCAGCTTCTTCACCAATTACTGCACCTATTGGTTCAGTTGATCAATCTGGAAGGCAATTTCAAGTGTCAACTGTTGATAAACCGCAGAAGGTAATCATACTCGTTAAAGGATATGTTATGTAAGTGCAAATAATGTAGTATAATGTAATCGCGATGTCTAACTTTCGATGATATTACTAAGGAAACAACACCACAAGTGAATAGTGAACAAAATTTGCAGGCACCGGAACCAACTGTAATTATATAATTTTATAATCGCTAAATTAAATGGATAATAGCCATGTTTGTGAAGTTAAATCATTCTCAATCTATTAGCCTGCTGCAGTAGCTGGGGATGTTTCTAAATCGAATAGTGCCGCTTCTATACCAATATCGGTTACTTCGTCTTTAGCTGCGAGTACTCAAAGTACTGTTGCTGCCTCTATTACTACGGCCAATGTAAATTCTGCAAATACTCCATTTAACAATGTAGTTAATCCAACGTCTGTGAATAATCCAAACTACAAAAATATTAGTACACCTGCGACTGGTAATTTGTAACTTGATTGATTTTTTAATTACAATAGTAACTTTTTTGTTATGTCGTAAGATTTTATTTATTGCACTTCTCTAATTGCTATAAAATATAACATTAGGTACCAAAAACGTCTCAACAACAGTCCCATATTATTTTAGTGCAGCTCCTGGAATGCTACCGGGAACCTACCCCGCGGTATAGCCTATATATGTATTCATTAAATACTCTACAAGCTATTGTTCTAATTTACTTAATTACCTTATTCTCGTATGAAAAATTCATTGTTTTCTTAACGTGTACGATTATTACATACGAATAGAATTTTGGATACGGATATGAAGATATGTCCATGATGTCACAGAGGATGGGTCCTTTTGTTAGTATTTTTAAGCAATATTACCTTTTTAGTGGTTTTCATGAATGATCCTTTTCCTATTAGCGATATACATATATAGCTTTCACAGCTCACTTAGTATCTCGTAAATTACTACTTCTTTCTTTAGCCTCACCTTTATTATGATCTACAATTTCAACAATACGGTATGCGGCCAGACGCTATGGGCAATACCGCTGGTAATTATTCTAGTGGTAACGAATCTGGTAATAAATATGGTAGAGTCGATACTTCATCGCCGGTTTCATCGTCAATTTCTCAAGCTCAGCAGCAAGGTTCTAGGATTTAGTTGATTTATCGAAGCTAACGCTTATCTCAATACTATTAGCTTGTAAGATTAGTTGACTTATTTATTGTGAATACAGGAGGACCACATCATGCTGCCTCTGCTGCACAACAACCTCCTTATGTTAATCCAGCGATGACGCAGGGATTTTTTCCGAATGTATACTATCCAAGTGTAATGCCTGGCTCATTCCATACTTACGCTCCGGTATATGGGGTATGTTTTGTGAGTTGTAGATTTGATTAGATAATTGTCGTTAAATAGTTCCCTTGTGTTTAATGCAGATGCCATCGAAATCTCATGGCGGAAACATGTATCTAGGTAATAATACTTTCAGCGGTCAGCAAGGTACTTGAATTTAATTCTCATTAGCCTCTTGGGGTTGTTAATTATTTGCTGTAGGAAGATTTGTAAATTTTTTATGTATGCTGTTAGGGTATGATGAAGGTAACGCACATAACGATTTTCAAGCAAAGAACGGTTTTGCCGGTTCAAATCCTCAGGCTCAAAATAAATCGAACTCTAATAGCGGTTAGAGTTAAATGAATGCGTTAAAAATTTTCTATTCTCCTTAAAATGATTTATTTATGTGGAAAGCGAAACTCATTTGAGATCTTCGTCTTATTGGTTTAGGTTCTGATATTGCGAGTCAAAGTTATAAAGTACAGCAGGTGCGGACATATTACATACCCACATAAGTCTTTATGACAATATGTTCAATCCATTTTGATACCGTATTCGTAATGCTTCTGATTATTATATCATATAGAATCAATACGATAAATTTGGTACTACGCCAGCACAGTTAAATATGCCTCTTGCTCATGGAGCACATGCTGCGGCTGTGCCAGCCGGTTATGTTCAACAATTTATGGTACCGCATGTATCGCAACAACCTCATCCAATTGAAGCATCTCAACAACAAAACCAACAACATAATCAATCAAACAAACAGTCTTCTAAACCGGGATCGAGTAATTTTCAGTATTGGAATACGGGAGCAAATCAGGCGTAGATCTGCAAATAAAAATTTTTTCGCTGTTATTTACTCAGATCGAGCTCCAGATTACTGTAATAATCACTAAATTGATATCCACTGTATGTTTTTTCGTAAATCGTTCCTATCGCTGTATTTTATTTTCGGTAGCTGTTATTGTTTAAACAGCTTTGTAAAAATGGCGTTGGCTACATTCGAGAATTGTGCTTGATGGTACTAACTATGAATATATATCCAAGCACTTACGGACATAATAAAATAAACAGCTTGATGCTGAGGCTTATGACGTAAGCACGTGTTGAAACTATTGATATTGACTACCATAATGTGTGTGTTTAAATTTTGTTCGAGTTGGTTGGCCCATTTATATGCACACGTAAAAGTCGTTGTTACGATACGAGTCTTTCGTGGTTATACAGCACACTAGATAAATAGTCTAGTTCATTGGGATTTAATGACAGCTACGCGTTCGCAATACAGCATTGGTGGTGTTTAATAGGGAATTCGAATTTGTTTATGCAGTTGGGTTAGACTTTAGATACAAATTTTGTTGACGTTGTCACCAAAAAATTGATTACATTAATCGTATGCGCGTGCCGTCTAAAGTTGCAAATATACGACCTCCTGCGTAGAGACTATGCAAAATTCTTGATATACGTTATATATAACATCAGGTCTATAGGTTTTGGTAAAGCGTAGTCAAATTGAATTCGTAATTTTGGTACAAAGTTCTTGCCGGTATGTACGTCGAGTCATACCGACAGTGTACATATAAGGTACTCAATAGCAAACTGTTGGAAGTGTACGTATGAAGATTAAGATAGTAGAAATGGTATCCTATTAGATTAGGCCTTGATGGCGATAAATCTGCTATAGTTGGCTACAATTTATTAAATTTTCTTAAAATCAAATATGCAATCCGCAAGACGAGAAGTCGTTCATTGCGGTTACTTAAAAAAGGCTCCATTGGAAAATAAATCATCTCTATTATGGCGAAATCGCTGGTTCGTTTTATTAGATTCAGAGCGTGTAATGGCGGATGGGTCAAAACTAGTGCGATTGGAGTATTACAAAGATAAAGATGCCTGGACAAATGGAAAAGAGTATGCAGGTAAAATTGTATCAAGTGGGTCACTTTGCTACTATTCATGTTCATTTAATAATTGTAGGCTTTATAGCCAATAAATAGAGTAAAATAAAAAGCTTTAAAAGATTATATCAAGTTACCGAACGTGTTTGGGCTTTTTAATTGTGGGAGTTGTTCTAATAGCTATCGAAGCTGTAAATATTTTATTGCAAGCCGTACATTGCATAGACATACTTACAATAAATTTATCGGTACTTATATACATTACGTGAATATTTATACATGTACATACATTATGAGATGATCTAGATAAGTAGGGGTAGTAAATAGGGCAATAATTAATTTATTTGACTTACCGAGTACTTAAAGATTACAATCATAATGCTTAGCGATATCATTCTTGATTTGAAGTAACTATCGCTACGACTAAATTGTTTTACTCGATCATTTATAAATGAACTATTCTATCTGATTTTTTTGTTACTCTTTCTGAAGTATTAGTCATTATTCTTTTGCCTCATCCTTAGCCTTTGACAGGTGATTAGTGATGCAATATAGGTAGATATAAGTAGCCACTTCACTGTAAATTTTATAAGAGATGATTAACATAACTGCCGCATGTTTAGTTCTACAGTAGTACCTTTATATAATATGATTTAGTCACTATCTTTTTCATACAGTTATATTAGTCTTTTGATAAAGATTGATGATGAACTTGGTGCAACTAACCGCCTATACTATACTATTTTATTATTAGAGCTCATAAATATTCTCTATGATCCCTGTCCATATCTCTTTGTCGGTATATCAGTCCTATACATCCTTGCACCATTGAGATAAAGCTATTAGCTCTTGCCTCTAACATAGAGTGTACAGACTTTGAAAACCATGAGAAGATACATATTGTACTTTGCTTACCTAGAAATATTTTTCTTCAGCTGATCTGTATACTTTGGCAAGAATTAAATACCAGCGAAAATTTTTAATCAGATGTTTGAACCAGTGTAATATTAAGAAGAAGCTTAGAAAAATCGCCTGTAGTTTTAAACTGCTATGAATAGTTCATATCGTTGTCGCCATACCATAGCCTCTTTTAACATGCGCCCAGTTGTCGGTATTCATGTACCCGCGTACACGTAATTTCTATCAATCAAGTAAGCGATGAACTCAAGTTTGGTCATGTCAAATTTTTTGACACAGCATCAATCCAAATATTTTTAAGTTAATCGATGCATAGATAGGAGGAAATATTGCTTCTTTTCGAATTTTACTATACACTTATTTTGCTGTATTTTTTACTATATTCTTACAATTATTGATTTATAGGCATTATTCATTTCGATACGATCAAATCAATTTCACCTGGTAAACGACGTAAAGGAGACTTGCATGTTATGGAATTATTGACCAATGATAGGAAATATTTATTGGGTACACGCGATTTAGATCATTACCGTGAATGGATGACGAAATTGAATAACTTATTAATGGTTAGTAAGCAGTAATTGCATTAGCGGTCAAATTATACGCGTACTAATTATTACGGTACGTGTCTTTTTGTATTATCACAGTATAACAACTATTAGAATTGATATAGTAAAGTGTAAATTCCATTATTGATCTAGAATACGGTACTTATTGGAATATTACTAGACATGATTTTAATTACAAATACTGTAGTATTAGTGAGGGAACGTAGTTACTGCAGTGTCGTTAAAAGTTTAGAGATTAAATATGCTAATGTTATATCTTGTTTTATAGTTGCTTTCTTTGTTCAATAAAATCGATTTTTGAGTTATTTCCATCTTTGAGATAGTTTCAATGGTGTAATTCGCAGCTGTATTACTCCATGCCACTTCTGATGAATATTAATTTATTTTTGGCATAAGTCGATAAATTAATATTAATCTAAGGCAAATGATTCAAAAATTATAAACGTCCAGTTCAATTTGAAGTTTTTAAGGATTTTGATATGTCATCTCCAGTATTTAAGTCAGCATGGATCATTGTTTGATTCAAATCGAATAATTTCCCCTGGAATACTGCCGGCATGATATTTCGACGCTTTATGACAGCTAGTTATTTTGTGGATAATCATAATAGCTTCTTATAATTCTAATCTTGTAATTTTAATTACGCAAGACTATATTAATATCATGTAAGAATAGTTTACTAGTTGATGAAGAGAATGAATAGCGCTAAATTCGATTTGACAGTCCTACATGACTCTTAATAACTACTGCCTTTCTATCTCTTCACCTGGAAGTAATGAACCCTAAAGTGCTCAGGCTGATGAAATTAGCATAGTTTAATATATATCTGTATGTAGAATTCGCAATTTATTTTAATAATGTTAATTCTGATTTGATTTTAATATTTAAATAGGATTTGAGGATGGGAGGATTTCAACAGCGTTATAATGTCTCAGCTACAACAAGACATATTACCGGTAGTGGAGGACTTAGCAGTTCTGGTATGATATTTTTTATTATTAAAAACGGACGAATTTCGTCATAATTTAGTTAAATCCTATACTAATGGTAATTTACTTAAGCAATCGGCGTATAATTTACGTTATCAGAGAAAAGAAAATTATTAGGTTTTTGTATGCAGTTGTAGTACGGTATCGGATCTTATTCAGTCGATTAAGAAGAGTACTTTAGTACCGATAAGACTTGAAAAGCCCCCTTAACATAATAGGAGTAATGCTCGTGAAGCCAATCATTGGAGTTCATGTTTACGTAAATGTATAGTAAATTATGAATAGCACTACAATAGTAAAGCTTGGCTTAACTATATCAATGATGACATTATCAATATGCTTAAAAAAGTACTCTTATAGCCAATCCTATAAATTCAAGTTCATGTTGATATTCTGTAGCTAATCCGTCGAAAGCTGTTGATGATTTATTGGCTTCAACACCTGACCAGCAATTAGCTGGAGTGGTACCGTTGAGGCCTACACGTGCATCGAGATACATGAAAAATTCTGATGATAGGCGCTCAGGACGTAGAAAAAGTTGGACAACATCCATTTGGTCGTCCATTTCCAAGAAGTTTTCTTCGTCATCTTCTACAAGCCCCAATGCTAAAAATTATGATTGTCAAAACTTTGACTTTCTTAATCCAGTGAATGAGTAAGTTCAGACAGCATCAAATATTTTGTAAATAATGTGCAAAACGTTATGACTAATTAATTATCACAAATTAGCCGTTTGCAGTATAAAGTAAGCTAATATAGTATCACTGATCAACTACAAGTGATTAAATATAACACTATGAGATATTTCGAAAGTAATGCAAAATAATCAATCATCTTATTTTTATACTGTACTGTATTTACGATTTAGTTATTTATGAGTTTTTTAATTTCGGGAATATTTTGCAAGTTATGGAAAATAATCTACTGTGTCATGCTATACTTACGTAAGATTATATAGAATATTATATTATACTTTACATCATGCAAAATTATAAATCAGCCATTTAGGGGTTTTAAATTACTTTGAGCACATATATACTACATATACGTGTACTGTATGTTAAAATATTACTAAAAACGATGATCTATTGGAGGGTGTATCGTGTAAGTGTATAGTTACAATGACTGACATTAATGTTTTGATAGAGAGTGGTATTTTATAGTTCTTTCTTTACTGATATTCTAAAATAATTACTATATTCAGACTTCAATTACGGATTAAAAATAATTTTATCTTGTTATGATCTATTATAATTTAGTTGTGTATTCGACGATGACGCCAATCATAATAAGTTACCAGAAGAAAGGACTCGCGTAAACAGTTCGTGTAAAATAACACCCGGATCGCCAGCTAATGCCAGCCCGAAACTGACCAGTTCTCAAGATTCTCTAAGGATACAATCCGAAAATAAAAAGTATGTTAGTCGATTTGCAACAAACTCATCTTCACCGGCAGATAATCGGGTAAGCTATTCCGTCATTACTACTGAGAGTAAATGTATTTTGCACTTGCAGGTAAACTTTGGCTTATGTGATATTTGCTATACCAGCATCTAATTGATATTGCTTGTGCGGTTATTTCAGCATCTCTCCGGCAGCTAGCTACATTACAATATAGCTGTAGAATTATAAAGCATAATACTGATTCGGAATAACAATAAATTAAATACATCTTTCACAACAATAACATTTGTAGTAAAGGACTAAAAGTACTTAAAATTTTAATGTTCCGGTGGCTGCAATTTTTATTGTAAATAGAAATATCCGTATCACTTAACTCCACAAATGGCGTCTCGACAGGCATCAGAAGATCTCTCTTTTTGGGCATTGAAAAGAGCATCTAGTACGTTATAATTTTATCTTATTCGTTGCTTAAGCATCTTATTAACTCAGCCATTAATGCGAATTTAGCGAATTCTTTTCTTATTCTAACTTTTATACTTTAATCTATTATTGTATTGAGATATTGCTGCTTATAGTAATGATTAGTTTGAATAACATAATGTATCTCTAAACCAATGATATCTGATCTAATCACCATCAATTTACATTCCCCATCCAGTTCTATTCCTGCTATGCTCTATAGTATTATGCATAATAAACAAGTCGTTCAGTTTTTCTACAGAATAGTAACTTGATGAATTGAAGTAGGAATGACATGCTGGAATACATAATGTACTTTTCTGTATGATTGATAATTTTCTCTGGTGTAATGGGTCGTTAACGTACGGTATTGAGTAATTTATCTCATTTTCTAAGTGATTTTGATTTACACAAGTAGAATTTTTTTTACGTGTCAGTATTACATATAAGTAAACATAAAAGAAAGGGACTAATTTTCAATCAAATTCTTTAAAGTGACTCTGTTTTCAATCTATTTTCTGAATTAATAATCAGTTAGAAGATCTTCTGAACCTTATTCGCGTAATAATGAAGATGAAATAGGTAAGATTATTAAATGATTCTTACTAGCATGTAAATCTGTAATGGTTAAATTTAGTATTTTCTCTAACATATGCTAAACTATAGAAATAGTAACAACATTTTATAAGAATACTTTACGCAATATTCATATTTGTGGTATACTCAAAGTCTAGCGTAAATTTTTCAATCGGATTTATACTGCTACCTTATACTATCACAGCGAACGACGAAGATAATCGGAACGAAATGCA